TAAGATTATTAAAATTAGATATATATATATATAACATTTTCAAAAAAACAATTCAGAAATCATTAAGAAAATTAATGTTTAAAATTGACTAGCTATTTGATTGCAAGGAGCATGTCACAAATATATCTAGAACCAATATGATTTTTCTTAATGAATGTTTCTTGTTTAACATTTAATTGATGACAACAAAGATGGTATTCATAAACGTTGCGAACATTAAATGGAACGCGCCCAGAGTGAATGCGTCTCATCTAACCTATTCACTTCAATTAATCAAATGAAATGACCTACTCCCCCCATAAAAAGTAACTCCCCCCATAACAGTAAACCGATTAACTCTAAACGAAAATTCACTTTGGAAACAATGATTTTGATATTTACTTTTGTTTAAAGTGAAATTTTTACTGCTAAAAGTTCAGAGGATACATCTTTATCAGACTAATTTACTTAAACGTTTTCAAATTCTATCAACATGATTTAACCTGCTCATGCAGTCAAACTCCCGGTTATTATCGATTACTATCGCTCATACTATTATAATCGCGACAGAATGTATATTCTCATGGTACAATGCACTTACTTCCGGCGTCTCGGTAGTGTCCGGTACGTCCCGAGTGATGTCCGGATCCGGCGGCCTGTGTTCCGGTACGAGTGCACCGTACTTCCTCGACGCCATACGTCGTCGTCGATCCAGCCATCTCTGCTTCTCCGAGGCTTCCGATTCCTCATCAACCCCGAAGAACTGCGCTGTTTCGCGTCTAATATAGCTGCAAAATTTGAGAAGATATTGGTACCAATCAAATTCACATGTTATTTTAAATGCCGATTATATTAAGTTACGGATTATATTGACAGCTACGTTGCTCATATATAAATAACACTCGATTTTATAAAAAAAAAAGAGCCAAATACGTTTTCTTTTATAATTTATTTATTTGTCATAAAACATCATTTTAAATTAAAATGTTATTGTTATAAAATTAGTTGTTTTACTTATTTAAATGATGGAGCGCTCTCGGAAATAAATATCACTCGTATACGTCTAAATGACGCATATGATATAATAATCATGGTTAAAGCAACCTTTATTTATTTATTATAGATATTAATATATTCATAAAATATATGTAATTACTCGTACAATAAATCAGAATCAAAATAATTTGGAATATATAATTTTTATATAACAATATATATAATATTTTTTATTTCTACTGTTTGAAATAAAATAATACCTAATGTTTCTATTAAAAAAAAAAATCTGATTAGAAAACTTTAATTATGTTATTAATTTGAAAACTATTATAGTTTCGACATTTTAATATTAAGACTTCTCGAAATAATTTCAGGAATCTATTATTAACAAATGATAAGCAAGATCAGTTACCCTGTAGGAATCCTAAGTTAAGACATATTATTTTGCATAATTAGTATTTAAATATTATAAATAGTATTTAATATGCGGCAAAAATTAACTTTTTTCAATCATGAAAATAATTAGACGTATAGGAGTCAGGCGCGATATCGATGCACAAAAAAAAATAATAATATAGTTAATTAAATAATATTTAATCTAAATATAAAAATAAATAAATTACAATGATAATATGATTCGGCTCCAGAGAGCTTTAAGTCCCCTTCAGATCATATAATAAATAAACGCGGTAAAAATATAGTCAAAGTATAGATATGCTATTTTTGTACATGATCAATGTATCATTTGCAAGAGGTTGGCTGACCGAGTAAAAAAGACCTCAAAAATGAATCAAAATGTTAAAACAATATAAGTGAGTAGTAAGAGTATTAATAAAAATAAATTAACTCCAACATACAATCATGTAACATACGTAACTTTTTTTACAAAAAGATTGGAGATTGGAATAACCTAAAATATGATTTTTCCATCCACTATTTTGCAAATATTGATTTTTTTGCGCATTGATATTGGCGTATCGATATTGACATATCGATACTTTCATATCCGATATATTTTAAGCCTTAAAATATATCGGGTATGAAAGTAAAAAAATACCTTAAAATTTAAGATATCGAAACTTTGATCTACAATCGAATATCGATATAAAATATCGATGCAATCGAAAATATCAAGCATCCCTACTGATGGAAACTACAATAGAAAGTCATGCGCCTTTAATTAGGAGGGGGAATAAGGTGGACTCATTGTGGAAGGGATAACATGCCAAGGAATGCATGATTTTTCACGCGAAGCAAGATTCACCCATGATGAAAAGATAACGTGCATGGTGTATGCAGTTAAACGGTTTTAAAGTAAGAACGGACTATGAATATCGTCCCATGTTTCGCGTTTCACAGTTGGTAACCCTTGAATCTTATGAACAGTCCATAAACAAAAAAGGCGGAGATAAAAAGAGACACTGTCCAACTGCATACACCATGTTATCTTTCCATCATGAATGGACCTTCGCGTAGAAAATTGTGCATCCCTTGACAGGAGGGAGGTGGGACGGACATCGCTTCGCGTGGAAAGTCGTGCACTCCTAGGCAAAGGCGAGATGAAGAGGTTCTTGCTTCGCGTGGAAAATAAATGTAATTGCGAATAAAAATTCAATTATTTGAAATGTCATATCTCAGAAACTAGAAAAAATCTGCCATGTGATTCAAACTCTGCATGACTCAGCATTATATCGATTTTAATTATACATATAAAAAAAAGTCAAAGTCATTAGTGAGGTTTAACCTTTTCGCAATAATTATCTAAGATATACTTTACACCAGGCTTGTCAAATAATTGCTCGCGAGTCAGCCACGCCGCCGAGGGCGCCGAGTGCTTCCCTCTCCAACTCGATCTACCGGCCGATTTCAGGGTCGAGTTGGAGGGAGAAGCGTTTGGCGTCGCAGCTGACTCGCGAGCCTACTTCTTCTTCTTCTTTTTATTGGCTCCGCAACTAGACAGGTTGGAACTGAGCCATTGAGTATCCGCGGCACTTATGTAACAAAAAACAATATGAAGAATACGAAAGTCTTAAATAGTAATACAAAATAGTAAACTCAGTTGCGCGTTTGAAGTCGGTCTTACTATCTAAAAATGATGACGCAATAACACATCCGATCATGTCGGTAGACGATGATGCAATTGTCGCGAGCCTAGAGTGAGTATAATGAGAGTAGTGCCAATGCATATGCCTAATGCTGATTGGCTCCGCCATTAAGTGTCCTTACAGTTAGAAAGAAGACAACGTTAAAAAAAGTAGAGATTAAGACGAGAAATTGCGATATAGAAACCCCCCAGATGTAGGACATCAAATGGTGACTTCCAGCTAATTGGCGTTACTCTCTTTATACCCACTCTAGCGAGTCACTATTTGACAAGCCTGCTTTACACTGTGTGAATCACTCTCTGTTGTCGCAATTTTTATATTTCAATATACAATTTTTTCAAAAAGTGATTAATTAAAAAATATATATTTAAATAGATAAACTAAAAAATTCTGAAAAATAATTTTGTCACGATTGCGTTATCAACTTATACTCACTTTCGGATGGCCTCGGTGCGGCTTTGATTCCTTTTTAGCCTTGGCCGTTGCGCTGTCGAGGCACTCGCCGAAGAACTGCTAATCTGGACGATCGGCCGCGGTGCGTTTGGCGCGGAAACGCTCCTGGCGATGCCAGAACTTACAGCGGCGACGCCGGAAGGGGCCAGCGGCACGGTCGCCGACGCCGTCGTCACTGGCGTCGCCGTCGTCACAGCTGACGACGTCGTGACGCTCACCGGATACATTCCGATACTCTGTACTGTGTCTCCTTCGCCGGTCGTCGACGATATCGTCGAGGTGCCAGTCGTGCCGGAACTCGGTGATGGTTGCCTAAACCGAGGAGAGAAGTGTTATTCCTGTGTTAGGATTTATAAAAGAAATTACTGTAAAGGAAGAGATTATTCCTATCAAATAACAGTAAATATTGACAGAATAAAAGAATTTTGAGAAAAAAGATCACTTGATATGTGTGGGGGAGATTGGGGCCAGTTACAATGGAGATAAGTTGTAACAATGCATATATCTTTTAAATGGTAAGAGATAATCATATGAAGAACAAAAATAGTAGATATCGAGACCAATATTTATCTCATGCCATCAATCGCGTATGCGCCGTATATAAAAGAGATTATATGTACTGAGTTCAGATAAGCCACGTAAGTGTAAATTTACGATTTTATACTTTTTTTGCTTTAAACTTTTAAATAAAATGCTTTTGATCATATTTTCATTTTATGGTAATTATTTAGAATATCCCCTCCCTTTTCCTAAAATCTTAGTAAAAATATACTCATTCGACATGTTTTCACCGAAAACGAAAGAATCTGGCAAAAAAAATTTGTGTAATTAAAGCAGAACGTACACATAACACTACAATATATTGACTACCGGATTGATAGATATTTTAACCTTTAAAGTCTCCACTTCAACGCTTAATAACACGATTCACGAGGCCGACCGCCACATTTTTCTATCAGATTTTTTCGTTTTGAGTGAAAACGCGTCAAATGAATATATTTTTATTAAGATTTTATGTGGGAGAGAGGGGCATTTTAAATAATTATCTATTTTATTAAGTCTAAAATATGTTTTCTTAAGTTAAGTTATGTGCTTTTTTTTGATATTTTTAAGTAGTTTCAAATGTTATATTCATATAAATTTCGAAAACATTAATTTGGGGTTAGAAGCATGATGAAAGAATTATGTGTACAGTTCGGTCGAACCACTAGTGCTGCCAGATGGTTGAAAAATTGGATGATACATGGTACGCCAAAAAAGCAATAGATTTGAAACTCAAAACGGTAGAGTATTTTTTTTCAAGAAATTTCGTAAAACTGTTAGAAAATAGAAAAAAATATTGTAATTGTAATACATACCGAAAACAACTCAGTAGCAAATAAAGTAGAAATTATAATAAAAAGAATGTACTCATATTTTTTTCTTTAATCTTTATTTAGTCTCATTGAAAATGAGAATTACAAATTTTATAAAAAGTAATCGAAAAAATATTCTAATCTGTATAAAATAAATAATTCAAATATTTATTATAAAAATAATACAACATTCAATAATTTCAATAACAGAAATTATAATTTATAATTAAAATATATTTTTTTGTTTTCCAGGAAACATAAAAAAATAACATAACATTAATTAACAATTTTTCACTTAACAATGCAACTGCAATGTAATATGCTTTATGCATAACAGTAACATTATTTAGTGAAAAATTATAATGCTATATTACTGCTATATTACTGCTATATTAATGCTATATTAATGCTATTATATGTTACTATTATTTTGTTTTTCTTTAATCTTTGCCATGTAAAATACCTGCGCAACAACATCCCCAGTTAGTAAAATTATCGTTAAAAAGTTACAGATTACAGAATAGGCCTATTGGACCAATGACATACGAGTAGCGTATATTAACGATGATACTAACGTTCAATCAATAGGATGCGCGAGATGCGCAAACAATGGCGGATAGAAAATATCAATTTTTGAGTAAAATGTATTATAACATAGAATATTATATACAAGCAAAAGTAAAGACGGTAGATAACCTGAAACAGTGGGCAGTAAGTTTGTGAGCCAAAACGGTAAATTTACTGCTAAAACGGTAAGGTTGGCAGCACTGCAAGTCACGCTTTTTGCTTCGCGTTGTCTATAATGAGAACGGACTACCAACTGTGAAATGCGAAACATGGGGCGGTATTTATAGTCCGTTCTTATTTTAAAACAATCTTAAATAATGTCTTAAGATGTTAATACAGTCCTCAGATTAACTTATAACATCTTAAGATTGTATTTAAGAGACAGTCTTACATGTAAGACTCGACTATGAATACCGATATGTTTCACGTCATGAGTTGGTACTTTCCTTGTTTAACATACTTTGTATGCCTTCCAACAAGCGACACAAATGACACGGTGTGACACAATGAATCATTACATCCTTGTTGTTTGCCAAACAAGATGACATGATCACTGTGTCGTACTGTATCGTTTGTTGGAAGGTACACTTTGTTTCTCTTTCTATAGAAAGAGAAGCTAAGATGCATCAAAATGTATTAAACAAAGAAAAATAGTCTTTCCCCACTATGAACAGTTCATAGACGGAGAGGTCAAATATTTAGACAGAAACACTGTCCAACTGCACACATCATGTCATCCCTTCCACTATGGTTAGAAGTACCATATTGCTAGAGTACATAGTAACACCATAACAATTAATTTTAGGATAAATATTAAGAGTCCACTCACCTCAAATTTTGATAAAAATGCACTGAATCTATGCGTTTTCGCGTAAAAAATTTAACAAGAAAAAAGTGTCGCTCTGTTTCATGAATCGAAATATTTTAAGTTAGGTCCTTAAAGTTGATGACTATTCAGGTTAGGAAATCTGTCACAGCCACGAAATGTATACTGCGATGCGATCACATTTTTCATTAGAGACTCTCTAATCAAGTCTGAACACCTTTTCGCCGGTTTGTAATTGGTCCGACATTTTTCATCCATTCCATTTAAATGCATAATGAAAATACATTATATTTTTACTTTAAATGCATGGCCATGGACTTGCTGTCGTAATATTTGATTAGACTACTACTAAACTTTTACATTTTTTAAATTTAAATCGTCAGCTAGTCGCCTGAAAGTGCCAGAATGTTCATCAAAAATTATGAAGTTTATGGAGCGTCTCTACTGAGCTGTAACAGTATAAGTACATACAGACATATGGAAAATGACCATCGGCATCTTTGATGTAGTGACCCTGAGTCACATGACTCGCCGCCATGTTGTGAGTTGAAGAGGCGCTTATAAATTTGAGTTTTTAAAGCTACAGAATGATTTTTCTAAAAAAAAAAAAAAAAAGACTTCGATCGTGTCATGACAATTTTTTATAGCGAATACATTTTTAAATCAGAGAATTATATAATAATATAATGTTAACGAACTTTGTATAAAAATAATATTCACATTAATAATAATAATATTAAATAGTAATCAGTAAATTAAAAATAATAATTGATTAAATACTATATGAAAATTGTAATTGAACAATTATGTATATAATATATTCCTGGTTGGAAATTGACGCATGCGCACTAAAAATTGGGGACTACAAAAAGTTCAGTGTCCATACTGTATGTACTTATATTGTGGCTGTAACTTACAGTGCCATATTGTAGAATGGGTGAAGTGATATAGCACGATTTTTATTTCCCGCACAATTTCGAAAAATGGTAGCTACTTCAGGTGATCAGATTCTGATTAGAGATCTCTAATGGCAAATTCGGCACATATGCACTGACTCTGCACTAGTGACATGGTATCAGTGCAACACAGTCTCGGAATGAATGCACTCGATCACAGTGCAGCACTAACTTAGAGCAACATTGAACTGAAGTAGTACAATTGACACCAATTCGGCAGACCGCACTAGTGCGCACTGAGTGCGAATTTTTTCGATGCCACACATTCGATCAATGCTCTCTGCCTAAGTGCCAAGAAATCTTCGCATTCGGTTGCACTGTTACCGTGCGAGTTTCATGTTGTATTCGGCGAATAAAAATTGCATCAGTGTAGTACTAAATTTGTATTCGGTTAAACAAAATGCACTGAACGAGAGCAAGCTTTATTGCACTGAAATTTTTGACAGTACTGTTTGATGGCACTAAATTTAAAGGTATGATCGTCAAAACAGATCACGTGACAAAAATTGATGAATATTGAGCATTGATTTCGATCATGCGACTTATTTTGACGCTAAAAAAAGAGCATCGACACGAAAAGGCATTTTAAGGAGATTCCCGCGGTACTTTCCTAATCAAATGACAGTTTGAATTGCCATATTAACTTTTATTAGGTTTTATCCAATAGACAGGAGTCAATAATTAAAGACAGTATGAATTTTTTTAACGGTTAAAATAATATAAAATACGTTGTCAATAATTCGCTAATGTCATTGGGTACACATATTATTGTTAAGTTTATATATTAAATATTTTAAATTAACAAAATAAGAGTTATAAGAGACTTATTTGATGATTGAGGTTTGATTAGTATGCTTAAGATTATGTATCATTGAAATTATATACGTCTTTCAAAATAGTGCATACGGCAGGTAATATAACGCCGCAATTATACAATAAATCTACTTTTGGTTTCATTCAGTACATTTTATTTAATCAAATATAAATTTAGCACTACACTGGTGCAATTTTTATTCACCGAATACACCATGAAACTCATGGTAACAGTGCAATTCTAACGGAATGCGAAGATTTTTTTGGCATTGTGGCAGAGGATATTGATCGAATGTGTGGCATTGAAAAAGTTCGCACTCAGTGCGCACTAGTGCGGTCTGCCAAATTCACTATAATTTTCATGCCTTATGGCCACGTACGCATGCATTGTTGGTATTTCTTATTGTGATAGATATTATTCACTGTTCTACAAACATAAATTCACTGCTTTAATAACAAATTTACTGCTTTAAAAACAAAAATAATAGATAATAATAAGAAGATAATTTCTCTTTTAGAGCAGATAATTTATTTTTAAAACATTGAATTTGTGTTTTAAAACAGATAACTTGTTTTTAGAACATGTTACAACTTTTTTTAGGTCTGTTTTATTTTGCTCCAATCGGGGCAAGATGTATTAATTTGGATTTTGATATTTTACTCATAAACATCCTAAAATTATCTTTTCGCAAATAGTAGCATAAATCTAAATAATTGTTGCGTCATGTGTATTAAAAGAAATAAATATATATGTTATAAATAGAGAAATATATGTATTTTTCTAAAAATTGGTATATACAACTGTCTTCAGTCTCCTCTATAAGAGATAATTTTATTACCATTTCGCTATCAAAAAAATATGTACATACAATCCAATCGATTGTTGACTTCGATTAATTTTAAAATTGAAGAAGAAGTATGGATTAAGAAACAAACATGTTTAAACGTCGCAAGTTATTTAATAAATAGATGTGTTAGGTTAGATAATGTCCAAAAAACTTGAATAATATGATATAAATGATTTCACAAATTTCAGATTTGGTGGACTTCGCTTCGCGTAAAAAGTTGTAAAATATATTTTTAAAGCAAAAAATTTTTGTTTTATGTAGTAGAAAAGAGATATCAAATTTTTTTGTTAATTTTTTAATGAATAATGAGCGATATCTAAAATCCTAGTTTACATCCAACGATCTGACTTGTACCTTGACCTTTATCCTAATTTAAAGGAGGAACGGAGTTCAGACCTATAAGTATTATGGCCCATATCCAGAACGCACTTTTATCGAAAAGCGCTATTTTATCTCTGAAATTCTATAATATTCGTGATGTAAAGTGTAATATGTTAGCGGGTTAACATCATTGTAAACACGTTTTGAATACGGACCATAATATTTTTAGGCCTAATATAGGTTACATTTAGTTAACTCTATATACCAAGTAGCGCATAGTTCCTTCATTTTGGACCTACTAACCATACCCTATACTAATAATACAATATAATACTAAGCGCTTATTGCACTACAGACAACTAAATCAAAATGGCAGTCAAAATAACCAATAGGAAGGCTGTCGGCATTTCGGCTCAGATAAAAGGAATACGCTATTTTGGTATCTAGAGCTTTACTTTTATACTCGTATTCATAGTCAGGCCTTATATTTAAGGTTTCCTTAAATTTATCTTTAGATACTCTACAAATTATTTCATTGGCTGCTGAGCATCTAAAGATAAATTTAAGGAAGCCTTAAGTACAAGATCTGACTATGAATACGGGCATTAGTCTCACGTGAGTGCCATCTACCAGTATTTCTTTATACTTTATGCCTTTATGTCTGCCTGTGTTAAAGCTGATTAGGTCGTGCGGTTTAAGGGATCAAGAATCTTAAAAAAAATTCATCATCTAATTAACGAGGTTATAATTATTTATATCGTTGTATTTAAGTTATATTTAGAATGTAAATAGCGACATCTTTCATTCATTTCTTATATTTATTAAATATTGTGTTTCACTCAAACGCATTCATCTATTCTTATCTAACGTATTGCAACTCTATCTCTTGCAAGATTGAACATCTACTGTTAAACACAGTTATTGCTTTGTTTATTATTCTTGTCGTCGCTTAGCATTCATATACACGTAATTTGCAAATCGATATAAATCTTTCTTTTTAAGCTTTTAATTTTAGTTTCATAAACTCAGTATTGGTTGCGTGTACGTAATGCCGAGTGCTGAACTGTCATTTTGTCCATAGGAGCTATAAAACTTTTGTATTAAAGAAATATATATTTCAGGTAACAGCTCTACGAGTTGAAAAAAATGTAAATTTTTAACTTTTTTTTCGATTTTAGTATAAAGTCCACTCTTTCAATTTTGCGTCTACTTTAATTTGGTAAAAGGATTTTTTATTCCGTTCAGTAAATTCATTATATCGATCTGCAATGTTCTTACAATTTGATCCCTTTAAATCATTTTTTATTATATTTTCGATAAAACTTTCCCTTTATATAGCTAGCCACAAATGACCTGCAATTGACTTTGACTGTTAATCTTGATCAAGGTTAACGTCATTCATCTTTTCTGTCACTCGTTATTTATTAAAAAGTTATAAACAAAATAATTTTTATGAATACTATGCAATTTTCTAATACAAGGTACATATTTCAACAATATTTCCTCTAATCTGGGGGAAATAGAGTGGATCTCACTTGTTGGAATTTAGTCATATTTCCAACATGTGACACTCAATGTCTCGAAAATTGTCTATTTTTTAATCTCGTGATCATAAGGACTTTTGATCAGACCATCATGACATAGTAAAATTTCCACCAATTCCGGGGTTCATTAAGGTCCGTAAGATTTGTGCGGAGTCTTTTATTTAAAGCTTGCCTATAATTCTATAAAAATTCACAACCTATTCAGAGTTCTGACTTTATTTTTAATAATTTCGAAGTTTCTAATAATTTAAATCAATAATTCCACACTACTAAAGAAGCTTAAACTTTAAAAGAGCAAAGTTCTCTTGCGGTAAAAATTATTTCTTTCCAAATTCTATCGGCTTCAAATTTAAGAAAGTTGTGTTTACCTTTAAAATTTGTTTAGAGGAAATTCAATTTTAAATATCAGCAAAAAATATCAGAAACCATCCTTTTCTTATTGTTTACTAACAGAAATCATGTGAGCCATTCTTATATGATTCTACTTATTATTTATAAAAACAAAAATATAAAATAAAGAAAGGGAGAACAAATTTAATATGAAAGTTGAAAAAAGTCTATATATAAGAGTCAACACAGTTATTAATAAAATATATTTATACACATTAATTAAAAATGAAAAATGCATACATTACGCGGATTTTGTTTATATGATCAAATATGTTTTCTTGCGCACTAATAATTGCATTGACTCTTAATGGTTTTTGTCATTTTCTGTATTATATTTATAAAATACATACAAAAAAAATATGTTTATTACTACTGATTTTTTTATGATAAAAGCTTGTAATATTGTTTTGTAAATCTTCACAAATTTATCAAGTTATTTATTGTACAAAATACAATATGAATGTTTATTACTGTAAATGCTTTATTAAAAACACGAAGAATGGTCTATTTCTGACATTATTTAGGTATAGCTTCTTTACTTCTACAGAAGAATTTCTTATTTATTCATCAGAATTTCTGATTTTCTAAGAATCTCTAATTTATTCGCCAGTGCTTATTAATTACATTACAAGCAATAAATCACACATTATTGTAGTAATAATAAATTAGATTTCTATTTATGCGTGGTAAGCGAAAAAATATCTTGGAAATATACGCACACGGTATAAGACGTGGTTTGAACGAAGGATGATTTATACTTATGCAAATAAAAAGGAAAATGCACCTTGAATTTCCGTAATGCCATATTTTTCTCGCAGCGGCAGCTGCATCCTTTGCAACTCCGCATTCATTTAGGCGAAATACAGAGTCTCAAGTAAGAAGGAAGAGGTGAGTCAATATTGCGCATATCAAGATTAATTAATGACGAGCCATTTCTTTTTAGATGCGCTACCCCTTTACAGCGGACACAATATGCCAAGTTAGTAATTTTCTCGGAAAATTTGTAAATTTTTTACTCGACTACGGCAACTACTCAAAATGGATTTTATGGAAACGATTAAAATATTAATCAGCCACAGTGAGGGGTAAATATTTGAAATAATAAATGGGTGTTAATTTCCTCAACAAAGAGAGGATAAGATGACGATTAATATTCAGATCTTTGCTCAAGCGAGAACACGAAGGCAAAAAGAAAAAAGATACACCTAAGACAAATTTACAGACTGAATGCTACGCTATGCCGCAAGAATGTCCCATGAATACATGAGGAGAAATAGAATTGAGGAGTTAGCAGAGCTTGCAGCTTTCGTGCAACATGAATACGCATAAGAAGAAGTAATATTTCTCGATGCTTATGCTTAGAATATGTTCAAAAAAATTTAAGGTTTAACTATTAAAAGTTTATCATCAATATTTGACTTTTTGACACATCTTATTGTGAATAAATAAAATGTGTCAATTAAAAAATTCAATTTTTTATACGAATGTTGAATCAACATTTCAGAAACGTTGAAAACATTCAATGTCCATTGCATCTATATCTTGCAGATATTGCAATTTGATATTCAAAAACATTTCAAGACTTATATTCAATTTTTAATTTCCAAAAATATCACAAATCTCTGAAATAACTTTCGCGAAACTAAACAAAATATTTTCAACATATATTTCTTTTCATTTTGAAGTTGCTTTCAAGAACTTATTTAATTAGAGCACGGATGAAAAATCTTATAATGTTATGTTTTTTATTCTATATTGTATAATGGGTTTTTATTTATGAGATATATAACTCTACCACGTCCATCTAATGGGGATGCCGCATTCTGTTCTTGAATGAGCTGGAGTTCTAGATTATAAGAGTAGCGCAATTCTTTTATTTGAACTAAATGCTGAATTTTCCTATTGGCTATTTCTATGTTGTTCTAGAAATTTTCCGTTCGTCGTAGAAATATTCTAATCGAAAGAGCCGTGGCCGTGAGGCAACGCGATGCTTTGGTTAGCACTTAAGATTGGCGTTTAAGTTTTAACATAAATATAACGTCTCGTTTCCGTTTGTTTCACCATCGTGTGCTACCACTCTGGCCGGAAATTAAGGGTGTCGCGACGCCCGTTTCCCGTCCAATTTCATTAGCCCGTTTCGATTTGATAAGACGCGACCGCGCGGATAAATGCATAGGTCGATGATAAATTGCAAGCCAGATAAACGAACATTTACAATAAATGAGAGTAAATGCGCAGGATTTTTCAGAACAATTATAACTCTATAAAAAGCCATTTATATTTCCGTTGTGAATGCAGCTATATTTTATTAATTAATTTTATTATTAATTAACTAAATTTTGATCAAATTTTAACTATTCCTAGAACAGAATTTTATTTGAAAACTCTTATTATCATATGTATATGTATATCAATAAAATGAATGTATTATAACAAGTTTAGAATAAAAAAACAGCTAAAAATTAAATCAAAAGAATTTATGAAATATATTAAATAATATAAAATATATTAAATAGAAAATAATTAGGAGAAAGAAAAGAAAAGATTTATTAATGTTTAAATTTTCGAAAGATTTGCATTTATATATACTATGAACTACTTCTGGCTTGTTTTTAAAATAAGAAATTTCTGCCAGCAGGTTTTTTTGCAGAGCACACATATCTTATTTCAATAATAAAATAAATTTTTCTTTGATTTTCTTGTAAAATCAATACATCCCGAACTTTTTATTTGCGTATTTTGATTCTGTAAAAAAATTTGCAATCCGTAAAACCGATTTAAAGATTTTGATTGCACTATGATTTATGATAATTGACATCGTTCTAATATTCTCTTAATTAATTTGATTCAAGGAAGAAACATGACATACTGCCGTAAGTGTTCTCACCCTTCTCGCTGCGTTACATTTTTCTCCGTTGTCAACCTCGAGAAAAATTCTAAGCATACTTATTCTCTGTACTATGACTATCTCTCTTGTACAACAATGAATGCTGGCACTTTCTGAAAATGCAGATGACTGGATACATACGAGTATCGTATTTATTGCTTCTTTTTCCTTCTCCTTTACCTACTCTACTTTTCAATAACCTTCAATGTTGCTTAGTTACGCATCGTTTTTCTATAATAGTTCATGTAGGAAATTTCTATTTGGACACTCTATATCACGATAGGATTTATCAGATATCAATGCCTATGATCGAACAACAGAGAGAGAGAGAGAGAGAGAGAGAGAGAAAATGAGAAAAAAATTGGGATAATAGTGGAAAATTGAACATGAATTTAACAAAGAGAGATAACAAAAATCATCCGGATTGAAATCATGGGATGATAAAAGTCGATATTCATTTCATGTATACTATACTACTCATTTTATGTATACAGTACTAAAAAAACTACAATAAATTAAATGAACGAAATGAAATCTAAAATAAATAAGGGAAGCAGATAAAACTAAAATAAACTAGGAAAAGACTGAAACAATCATTGTACTGTGAGGATTAGAAAGAGAAATTAACAGAGTCTAGGTAAAACTAAAAGAGATTTGGAAATAACTCGAGAGAAGAAATGGATTTGAAAGATCTCATGGAATAACTGTAACGAAGAGGAAGACAACGTGTCAGACTGCGGAGAGATAGATTCAAACGATCCGATAGAGACTGTTGGATGTTAACAGATACCATGACGCGTCTAAAAATGAGTTGGAAGAAATTGCTACGAACTGAGAAGGAATCGAAAGGGAGACAGAGAAAAATTGAGCGCAAAAAGAGGACCAGGAGAGAACGGATGGAGGGAGAATGAAATAGCAGAACGAGGAGAGAGAGGAGAGAGGCTGGCCGCCTATGTCATCCACGGAGAAAAGACAGAGCTTAAAGCACGCTACCACCTATCAAGCAGTAAATGGTATAGCGATGTGCCCTGGTTGTTTTTCACGTGGGTGGATTTTACAACGCGAGATATTACTCTCCCCCTCCCACCTCTCCATACCCTCTTTTTCGCCACCACACCACCGCCAACCGCCGACCTTAGCAGGGTGTGGCCTCCATCCTGCAACTTTTACATCACTTTTTCCATCCACGTACGCCAACGAGATTGACATTCTTCAAACCTTCCTCCCCCACCTCCTGCATTCTTGTCGCCGCGCGTTAAACCGTTGCCTTTAACCTTTAACCCTTTTAATCCTAGCGTCGATTATAGTCGGCATTCATGTGAAAACTGTGGGTTCTAGCGCCGATTATATCGGCATCCACGTAACGAGATTAAATTTTTTTTCATTAATATAAATAAATATAATCATTAATATAAATGTATTATATATAAATAATGAAATATAGAGGACAATTATTTTTATTAAAATCTGCTTTTCATTACCAATGAGAAGCTTATTTTATTAGACTGCACATATATGCAATTGTCTAAAAAATGGACACTCACAGTAGACTTCGCCGTACAAGGAAAGCACACTCGCGAACATTTATACCAGAACAAAAGGATTAATTATCGTTTCTGAGCCTCCTCACTCATTACAATGATCGATATCAGGCGACTGTGATTACAAAACAACCGCATCAGTAATTTGTTTTATTCATCTCACGTACCTACCCTTCGCTTACCACACGTTACACTCACTGCTCATCATACGTCCGCTAATTAATCGTGTAATGAAAGAGGTCAATTTTTTCTGCGCGACCCGCTTTAGGTACCGTCACTTTCACACGCAGCATGTGCGTTGACGCTTGCCACACTAGCCGTTTAATCCTAACCAGTCATCCGAGCTACCATTCGCATGAATGAGAAAAGATTTTTTTACAATTATATATATGTGTGTGTGTATATATATATATATATATATATATATATATATGTATTTATATGTATATATTGTTCTTTTTATCTATTTATCTTCGTAAAAACAGTAATCAAAGAGCTTTAGCGAACAATATCGCGGGGGGGTGAAGGCTTATCACGAAAAAAATTCTATAAGCAAGATTAATACTCTGCATGTTATGTTCGCACTTATCACAAAATATGTTCTTTGCGTTAAAAGTGGCGTATTTTTGTCAACAAATTTTATTTTTTTGTTTGTTTGTCAATGCTACTTCATAAATAAATATCGTGAATCTAGATAGTTGCATTATCAATTTAGGCATTATATTTTTACGTATATAGTTATATTGCAGAAATTTTTTTTTCATTCATTAAATATTATTCATTAAATGCTAAACTTTCATTAGAAAACTTATTTCTTTGACACTAATCATTTTTTAATAAATTCGTATTTACAAGTATAAAGGAGAATGTTTAAAAAAGTCCAATTTTTGACTCCTCTGCGGGATCTTAATAAAAGATTATTTGTTATTTCAGACCTATATGAAAATAAAAGAAGTTTTATATTCTAAAAATATGGAGAAAGTAGATTTTTTAAATGTTATATCATGTTTCCTTTTGTAAGTCGTAATTTTCGTATACCACGCATATAGAACTTATCATGAATCAAATATATTGCAAAAGTTTGTTATGATAATTGGTACTCAAAAATCGTTCAGCATGAATCTGTTATTAAAAATGTCAAATTATGAAAATAGGGGATCTAAAATGGCGTCCTTGATATGCAGTTTTATACATAAGATTACAATAATTGAATTTTTTTATCGAAATGTACCTGAACGTGCTTCTTAAGACACACTGACTATTAATCCATTAATTAAATCAATGACGGCGAATTTAAAATGACCGATTTAAAATGTTCGTGTGTTCGATTAAAGTTACATATTTAATATATTTCTTAAAAAAAAAAAGATAACTGTTAAAGTAGGATTGAGGAAAAATTCAAAAACGTTACGAAAAAATCGCGGATACTAGACTGCTGGTATAAGTTTAAGTCGATGAAAATGACTTTCTTCAATCGATGAAAATGACCTACTTGATCATTCTCAGTCAAATCCAAAAACAACTCGAAAAGCCAATAAATACATGATACATTACAAATGGAGAAAAGTCCAAAGATAAAAGATATACATGAACGCAAAGAAATTAAAAAAGAAAAATACCAATAAAAATTTTAAAAATTAAAGAATATTGAAGACAGACCATCACTTTAACATTGTTTCTGAATTTGACTGAGAGTGGTAATGTAAGCCATAATCATCGATAAAAGCAAATATTCAAACAAGAAAGAAAGAAAGTTTTTTAACAATTAGTTGGATCCTTTTTAACAATTAGCTGAATCTTAAGCTAGTGTTTAAATAATTCTATGTGAATTTATATAGTATCTACACATATATCATTTAAATTGCAATTAATTTTTCCAAATTTGCCAAATTAATTTTTCGAAACGCAAATTGATTGAACTACAATCATAATCACAAATTAAATTATTTAACAATTTATTGATTTGATGCTTATAGCATTTCAATATATTTGAATTAATAAAATGATTGTAGTTAACACAATTCTTTCGGACTTAAAAAGTACGTTTCAAATTATGTATCTATATTCCATTGGTCGCAAAAAAACTTATTTTTTAGTCCCAAATTAATGATGTCAACTACCTTTGTCTTCTTAATTTAAATATATCAAATTATTTAAAGTAATAAATAATTTCTATGTTCATTATCTATGTATCATATTCATCTCGAGATTCATCTATATTATCAATTTCTATATTTTTCACTATTTGTTTTAAATAAGTAAATTTTATTTTTCATTTCTAAGTAAATATTTTCTTTTTCTAAAATGCTCAAAATATGATTGCTACTTAATTTAAAAAATAGTAATCGTATTTTTCTTTATTCAAATAATAATTTATTAAATAAAATAAAATGTTTTAAGTATAACTATTTAATTTTAATATGTATTTATTTAATATAAAAAATTTAATAATTACGTAAAATACTCTTGATATTAAATAAAGTTATCAAATTGACAGATCAAATAAAAGTTCATAGTCGATTCTTGCATTTAAGACTCTTAAGTATAATCTTAAAATGTCACAAGTCAATCCGAATTGTATTAGCATCTTAAGACATTAATTAAGGCAATTTTAAAATAAAAACGGACTATGAATATTGCCCCATGTTTAGTGGTTCACAGTTGGCAGCCTTTTCCTCTCACGCGACATTCAGAGACGGCGGAGATTTAGAGAGAAATGCTTGCAAACTGAGCGCACTATGTTATCCCTTCCACCATCTGCCCGTTCGAGTTCATAGACTTCTGTTAACGGCACACTTACACACTTTACGCTGAAGTTATAACATTGATATTATGAAACTGGCCAATCATAGCTATTCCTCTGAAAAATGAAATGACTGATTCATAACATCGATGTTATAACTTTGGCGTAAAGTGTGCCGTGTAACAGAGTAATAATAGATATAGTACAACTAGACAGAGCAATCTCTGAAATTCGAAAAAGGGGGATAAAATCATGGTTGAAGTATTACATGAAGTGTGTTCAACCAAACCATGCCTACTTTTATTCCGCGTCGTCAATATTAGGCAAGAGTTACCAACTGTGAAACGCGAAACATTATCAGCGAGAAGTGAATTAACATCTTAAGACATTATATTTAAAACGAGTTGAAGATAAAAACGGAGTATGAACCGTCCCATATTTAGCGTTTCACAGTTGGTAGCTCATGTCTACCATGAACAGTCATATAAATAGTCATATGAATAGTCATATGAATAGACAGAGCGCGAATACTTAAAGACACTATTCAACTGCACACACCATGCAAAACTTCTTCCACCATGTTAAAACTCAGGTGGAAAAGGAACACACACACTGAGGTCCAGGTGCGTTCTCTCTCGTGCATGCGCGAAACAAGAAAGAACCTGGACTACAATAAGTGCGTCCTTTTCTACCTAAGCTTTACTACTATTCCTTGAATGTGCAGTCTAGAGATACTTGTCTGTTTAAATTAAGACGTTTAGAGGCAATGTGTGCGGTGCGGGGCGCTTGTCAAGCAGTTCCCACTCTCCGCGTGCCAAGCTATCGATGGCAAATATTTGGTGTTTTAGAATTTAAT